GGAAGGAAGGAAGGAAGGAAGGAAGGAAGGAAGGAAGGAAGGAAGGAGGTTAAATTTTTAATTAAAGTATTAATTTTTCCAATTGGTTAGTAAAATTAAACCAGAATCGATGAACGTACATTTTGTATCCACTGCTGGCATCAAACACCAAATTATGGGGGAAAACCTATCGTTTGTTGCTCAAGAAGACACATGGCATTTCTTCCAAAACCCTACTTTCTGTTCTATGTGAGCACAATGTCCAAAGAAAACACTTATGGTTGATTTGGCTGGCTGTTCCTCCTAATGGCTTGTGATCAAAGACTCAGAGTAAGCGTGCCTAATTCATATGCTCAAAGCCACCTCCCACAGGCTTCCCTTTCCCTACCTCTAAAGAATACTGCAGCAATGAGCCAGACAAATCACATGTCACAAATTGGAACCAATGAATCTCCCCCCTCCCCTCTTATGTCTCTCTGCTCATATACCATTGTATTTTCTCTGGGAAGAACGTTGCTAATGCAGGGTTAACTCAGGTTACCAAAGATGGAGATATGAAATTAAAAGCAATAAAATCTCTGTGCCTTATTGAGTTACAGCTCATCAACTGATTAGAGGCAACTTGTCAAGTCTCAGTAATTCAATTGACTCCAGTCATGCACCCATACCCTTACAGGCAGCTTGATTCCTTTGAAGCCAACCTCCTTTGGGCAAATACGGTCATGTTGAAAACACTGAAGGTGTAGGGAGAGACTGACTAGTGACAACCCCTATGCATGGATTAACAGCAAGAGTTTGGATTCCCCCTGGGTTCTCTGAAAATAAGCGTTGCTCAGCTTTTTGTCTAGGCCTGCAATAAAACAGCTAATTCAACTCTGATGCAGTACAGCAGACTAAAAGTCAGCAAGTAGCAAGCTTCCACATCCAGATATGCAAGACACCAGACACTACAGTTGATATTCTGGCACAGATGCAAAACACAATAAAGACATTTTAATCACTGCTTAATTCAAGCAAGGGACTGCTGTGTGTGTGTGCAGGAGTTCAGCTAGTAACAATGCTGGAGTTATGCCTTATGCTAACACTTCAATGAGGAGAAGCTCTCCTCAGAGAAAGATTAAACTGCAGTGACATACAGAGTCTTGACTCTTGAAAGAGAATGCTTGCATGATTTTAATGCCCATTAATATACAGTTAGCTGATTCAGTTTGCCTTTGCAGTGCCTCCAGGCCTGAACTGAAGTGTTAGTGGATGATGAGGCTACATGCCTGCATTGGCCAAGATGAGAGGAAACTCTTGAAATTTGAACTGTGGCATGTATTTTGCTCCAGAACTCTCCCACTCAGGTAAACCAATGTAATCAGAACATTTAATTTAATCCTATCACCTTTTTGTTTGTTTGTTTGTTAGCTTCTTAGTTCTTTGCTTGTTTTTTTTTTTTTTTTTAATAAATATTACAGATATTTACCTGAACTCAAAACCAAAATTTAGTTTCAGTTACCAGGATAATTGGCTCCATTTCCACATCTAAACACAATTTTCTTCTCAGTTAATCCCCCAACATTAAATTAACAACAAAAACAACAAATAAAGACAGCACCATCATAATTTATCTGAAGTATTTTAATGAAAATGAAAACTAGGCAAAATTAAGGAAAACTGTCATCAATAATCCCTAGTCTAAGATGAATAACTAAATGAAATTAAGGGAATTTATGAGTTAATGTAGAAGACATTGTGCTTTTCTGTAATAGACATCTCTTAAATATACCCCTTCCCTGGCACACTGGGAGAACATAGTTTGCATGAATGTATTATATACCAACAGGAAACCATGTGAGAGTTCTCTCTAAGAGGTTTCTTTCCCTTTATTTCTGGAAGAAAAAAAGTAGGGGGGGGAGAAAGGGGTGGAGGAAAATTTTCCCTTAAAAATATTGGAACATCAAAGAAAAAGAAAGAAAAAAAATATATTCATATTACAAAAAATATAGGACTTTTCCAGAACATTTCAAATTAGTTTTCTGTACGACTTCAAAAAAATAAAATAATAAAAAAAAAATGCACTGGTACTTCCATTTGTTATAGGTATAGAAATGTTATAGGTTTTCAATATCAAATATCAAACATTTCAGGCTTTTGAGATCAATGTTCTTCTCTTTGATCAAAAGACTAAGCATTTTTCAGTGCAATGTTTATAAATTGAGATTGTTTTCCACTGTCTTTTATGTGAAAATAGTTAAGATGTCAACGTTTCATCAATGTGGGTTGAAAACAAGTTATAAATATTCCCCACAGGAAGGCAATTTAATTTTCCTTACTTCTCTATCTGAGAAGTTATTCAGACTACTGTGTGGTTTTACAGCATTCAGGCTCTGAGTACAAAAAAATCCACACATTATATTAAGACTTGATTTATGTATGTCCCGGATAAACAAAGGACTTTTAACATCCATCCTTCAGCTCTCATCAGAGCTCATTTCTACAAGGAAAATACGGCTCAAAGAGACAGAAGCCAACAGAAATGACATAATGTCAAACTATACATAATGTCAAACTATACATAAGGTCAGACTTGTAAGTGGACTGTCACCTGGGTCAGTTGCTCTTAGTTGCAATTATTAGCAACTGAAAAATCAATAGGCTAAACAGAAATGTTGAGTTGGCAAAATTATCAAATGACATTGATTAGATTACCCAAGACGGTATATGTAGGACTACAAGATGCTCCAAATGAATTGTATTGTATTCCAGGATGGTAAATATAGACCCACCTGAGACTGTACATGTACGCTGACAAATTTGGAAATCAGGGTGATCTTTACAGGGGAAAAAAAATAAAAAAATAAAAAAGATAAATCTCTCTAATTTATCTAGTAGGGGGCAAAACTAGGAAGAAGGGGGAAATAAATAAATTGCAATGTGAAGTGTTTCAACAACAGCAGTTTCAGCCCTCCCATTTCTGCTTTCAATTTTCTTAGGGAAGAAAATATAGAAATAGGAGCTACTATCTAACGTCTAAGGTCAATGTGGGAAAATATCAGTATAAGAAGGAAGTGAAGAGGCTGGGAAAGATGAGTCTAAAAGGAAAGAGTTGAATCAGTCATTCACAGTATTATAAAAGCAAATGAATTGCCTAGAGAACACCAGAGAGAGATGTCTGTTTACCTTGAGTTCAATAATACAGGATGCATTAATAGGCAGCAAATGTACAACAGGGAAAAAATATATAATTTTATGCAACATTTAATTAAATTGAAGCTTCTCTCTGTAGGGAGTTTTAATGATTCTAAAAGCTTGGCAAGATTTAAAAAAAGATTCTATTTGTATAAATGGCATGCGGTGTCCATTCCTGCTTTGGAAACTGACTGATTGCAGAAAATATATTATTGAAAAAGGTACCTAGGTGGAAACCTGGGGCATGATTCTATTGTCAGCAAAGCGTGTGGAGAGCTTTTAGGATGGCAAGATTTTCATGCTGCTGTCCCACCATGACTGCACTACAATAAATGCCAAGAGTATTTTGTATAGACTTTAAATGGCAACAGAATAAATCAAGTTCAAAGTACTTTTTGGAAGTACCTTATTTAATTCCAATTCTGAGATGTTCAGTGCCAACCAAGGTGGCAAACAAGCTATTGACCTTTTCCAGCATGCACCAAAGTCCAGTTAAATGCTTCTTATCTTTATTACTTCAATAGAATTCACCTTAGCAGTATCAGAACTCTGCAGTCTACAACATAGATTGCAAATAAAATAAAATAAAATAAAATAAAATAAAATAAAATAAAATACTTTTTAAATTACATACATCAGTTTGCTACCAGGGATTGCTAGAGGATATGCTACGACATAATCTGGAGATGTTCAAGACCTGCCTGGATGCCTACCTGTGCAGGGAACCTGCTTTGGCAGGGGGGTTGGACTCGATGATCTCTGGAGGTCCAACCCCTACAATTCTGTGATTCTGTGATTCTGTGAGATAAGAAGTAACATATTAGCACTCAGAGGTAATAGCAGAACTTTGTTTGCAGATACAGTAACACTTAAAACCTTCTGCAAGTGCTATTTCAATCCACATAACAAAAATGATTGTAGAATCACAGACTCACAAGAAAGCATCTGAGTTTAGAGAGCTTGAATTCAACTCAAATAAAGTTAATTTACGACAAAACGTTTTAATTTAATCAAAAGCCATGTTTCTGCATTCATAATCCATACCATGTGCCATTTATTTGAGTCTTCATGCTTGTTCTTTAGAAATGCATTTTGTGGAAGATAGGGAGGAATATTTAGAGAAAGTATGACTGAAGAACATCTATCAATGGAAAGTTTTGCTGCAGTGAGTTAACTGCTCTGATATGTGTCCATTGTTACGGCACAAAATCTGGCCACATTAAATTTGAACAAAGCAAAGAGTTAATGAAACACAAGAATCTTTTTTCCTCCCCCATTATACTTACATTTTCTAAGTGGTTTTTCTTTTCCAAGCCTCATCACAAGTAATGAATCTCTCTCATTAGTGTCTATAGTGTTCTGCCAGTCTTCATTCTTACATAATTTCCCTATCATTCTTCCCTTTCTTAGCTTTGAACCCAAGTGCAATTTTCAATTATAAAAAAAATTTAGATTGGTATAAATTCCCTAACTGAAAGGAGTGAGGGAAGACTGCTTTTTTCGTGCTCCAATATCCTTCTGACAAAATATAATCAAAATATCTTCTTGATGGCTTGCTTGCTCTGCATTTCATGAATGGTGAAGTCTATCAAGCTATTATTTCTCTCTATTCTGTGTGAGAAAGGATAAAGCCATCAAAGTGTTCAATACAAATAAATGATCTATAAAAGCATCAATTATTATCCAGTTAAAGGTAGTTCTCAGGAAACTGAAGTTTTGCCTTCATTCCTTTGTTAACTGAGCATGGGAATGACTATATCCAGAAAATGTGAGTCTGTGCAAAATTGGGAGAGAATTTTCTCAACTGTATGTTTGGATATACTGGAAGAAAAATAAAAACTAAGTCAGTGTAGAAAAAAAATGGCCTACTCAGATCTCTGAAAACTTAGGTCCCTTTGCCTGCATCCTTTTATTTTCTGCTGACACTGAATGATGGGAATGTATCCTGGGGCTCCATCATCTTTGGAATCTTTGATGAAATAACCAGCAAACAGTGCAATTAAATAGAATTTTGCAGTGTCTGACTGAGCAATAGGCAGCCTGGAAGTGTACTGTCTGGGGAATGGAGCCCTGCTCAATTCCGGGTTTTTGCCTTTTTTCTATCTGGTAACCAAAACTCTACTAGCTTTAAAGTAGCATGCCAATTTACAGCAAAAGAGGATATGAAACATCAAGCAAGCAAATGCATCACTAACTTCTTTTTCATCCTTTGATATCTCAGCATTCTGTCTCTTAGACCTGTGAGCAAAGGAATGGCACTTCATACAAAACTGGGGAGATATCATAGGCTGCACATCTAAGACTCTTCTCCATTTCCATATTTTCTTTCCTAAGTATAAAAACGGTTTGAACTGAAGCAAATAATGTGTTTTGTTTTAGTGAGAATTCCATATAAAACTCAATATAATTATAACACACGTAAAACAATATCAGTGCCCTCATATTACACAATAAAATAACAGAGGACACCTTAATGTTAACTGATTAAACACATTATTCAGTTAATGAATGATTCATAATTCATATTACTGAAATTGCAAAACATTGACTCAAATTATATATTGGGTAAGTCCTTTTAGCACTCTGGATAATTGCAGTTATGTTAGCGTAAGTATGCCTAGCAACAAAATCCAGAGCATTATCTCCAAGCCTTCTTACCTCATCCACAGAGCAAGACCACGTTAAGGTCCACAGATCACCAAAGGCTTCAGAGAGGAAGTACGTTTTTTTCAAGAGAATGAAATCTTTGAGAGATCTAATGGTGTGACAAAGGTTGAAAAATGTGCATGCTCAAGGGTGACTCCAGCACAACTTGTGCTAGTCAAACAGTGATAACCTGTGAGAACATAGGGTTTACTCAAAGAGTTTGTAGTATCAGTTTAGTCCTGCCTAACAGTTTTCAGAGAATCTTGGTGGAGCTATCCGCTACTTCTATATAAAGGGCAGGGTGACCAGTTGTCACTACTTTAAAATAAATAAATAAATAAATAGTCAAAATAAATGACTGACTGATTGAATGAATGAAGAAATAAATAAACGTTTACAAGTCAGAATGAATAAATAAATGAAAAAATAAATAAATGTTTATAAGTCAAATTGTTTAGAAATTATCCTAAGGGAAATAGTTTAGTGGGAAATACTGGTGATAGGTGGACAACTGGACTGCATGATC